GTTGGGATGGCTGCCTGCCCCTTCTCCTGCCCTGGTGAATGCACAGTGAGGACAGTCCGGGCTTCTGGTCCAGGACCCAGCTGGGACAGGTTCAGCCTGGGTGCTGCTGGTCCAAGGCTTACTCCAGCTCTGCATCACCCAAATTCAGCTCATCCCCAGGTCCTCTCCAGCCCTGCCCAGCCCAGGAGGTTTCCCCTGCTCAGGGATGGGGACACGGAGGCGTTGCAGGACATACATGTTCCCGCACAGCACAGGCAGGGCTGTGCCCCGTTGTGACAGGACCGTGTTTGCTCAGGGCCCACATGGTGCCTTTCCCAGCCGCTCTCTGCCTCCTTGTTTGCTCGCCCTGAGCAGACGGGGCGTCTTCCGGGCAGTGCCAAGGGGCACCCCGTGTGCTGGCTGCGTCACCTGGGTCCCCGTCCCCGGCTTGGGGGACGGCCCAGGACCACCCGGCAGAGCTGGATGCAGGGCTGCTAGGATGCTGGTCCTTACTGGAAGCAATGGGGTGGGGGCGATGCAGGGCTGGAGACGTCATGGGAGAAAGATGCTGCACCCCAAGGGGTGTCCACTCACTGCCTCCATCTCTGGGGGACCCCCAAGGGTCTCTCTGGAAGGGTTGGGAGAAGAGGGGTGCCTGGGGCAGGCACCCTGGGGGGCTCAGGGCTGGGTGCTTTGGATGTTGGTTGATTTTGGGTGCTAAAGGGTTTTGGGAGCATGGGGGTCACTGTGTGTCCACCGTCGCGCCAGCTGCAAGCGCGGGGTCTGCTCAGGGAGGGGGGTCTCCACGATGTGGGGGGGTGACATCTCTGGAGGATGAGGCTTTTTCTCCACCTGGGACACTCCGACTGTGTATTCTTGGGTGTCCATGGGTGCAGTCGGATTGTTCCTTCCTCCCTGAAATGCCTGGGAACGCACTGACCTTGGTGGCTGCAGCTGGACGTGCCAGGAAGTGGGGCAGGAGGGGAAGCAGCACTCTGGGGGCTGGGGGGTCCATGGTCCTGTGAAACCAGGCTCGGAAGGGCCAGACTTGTCTGTCATCCCTCCTGTGGCCTCACAGCCTGGCACCACACAGCGAGAGCTGCAGCAGGTCAGAGACCACAGTGACGGGCTCCAGCATCCCTCTGCAGGCGCCAGGCTACCGCGATGGCCAGAGCCGGCATAGGAGGGGGATGCCAGCCACACATCCACTCAGCAGACACCCAGGGACCCTCTCTCCACCTTCCCAGCCCTGCAAAGTCTCCCCCCCGCCCTTCCCCATCCCCGGCAGCTGCCGCACTAATCCCCACCATCCATCGCTCCCGACAGCCTGGGATTTACTCCGGGCCAAGGGCCAGCCGAGCCCTGCACCTGCTCCCCAGACCCGCCGCCAGATCCGCCCCCGCTCCT